TATTATTTCGATCCTAATTATGTTATTTATGTTTCATTACATAATTTATTACAATTAGTTTATAAAAAGGTATAATAATCTAAAGCATATAGAAAGAAAACTAGCAATATAATAATTATGGTTGAAGCGAAAGATAACTTGATGACACACTCACTACCCGTGTGTGTGTGTGTGTGTGTGTGTGTGTGTGTGTGTGTGTGTGTGTATAAAGTTAGTGAAAGGTTTTATAGTAATCTCTATATGAATAATAAGCATAATAGTTCATTCAAAAACATTTTAAAAAAGAAAAAGAAAATAGAAAATGTAATAATACCAAACAACATCTTATTTCTTAAAAATAGAAATATTAGAGAGAAAACGAAAGCTACCGAATTCTAACACACTTGTTCTGATCCCTCACTATTTCCGTCTATTTAATAATAATAATAATAATAATAAAAGACTGTTTCTTATGTTTATCTTTTTTTCTTTTTTTTTCCTAAAAACATTGTTTATGTCGGTAGGGAGTCTTTTATAAAATAAAATAAAATAAAAGTGGGTAGGTAGTACCCTTTCCTGTGGTTTTATTGATAATGCAGATCTTTTTTATATTATTACTTTTGGGAAATCATAGTGCAGTACCTTTCTAGTTGAGGATGGGCTGAAAGTCACGCAAGTCATGTTTAAAGAAAAAATATATTACTCAATATCCGTAATTATTAATTCTAACAGAAAAATTCAACATAGGTAGACGCTAAAATTTTTTATTTTTTAATTAAGAAACTGAATAAAATATGCCAGTCCACTTAACATGACTGGCTGCTCTGTTCATCTTCTCAGCTTCCCATCGGCATGTATATTTTTTATGCATTGCCTTTTCTTTAACCTCATTCCGGTCTTCTAGATGATTATGTCATATCTTTAAAATATTATGTTTTTCTTCAGTTAGGTACTAGATTCTTTCAGTTCTGTATTCCACATATAATGGTAAAGCAGGAGGAATGACTAGTAATCAATAGCCAAGGCAAACAGGCTTGTCAATATTGATCAAACAGTCCATCCAAATAACTCCACTTTGGACCTACAAGGATGGAAATAATTGGACTCCATCCTCTTAAAAAGAAAAAAAAAAACAATCAAGCAGGCCCGGAAGCTTGCTTCTGCCAGTCACTTCGTTAGAAAATCAAAAGAGCAACACAAATCTGATGGAAATGTTAATTTGTGTAGAATAATATGAATGTGGGTCGCAGTTTAAGGCATTATATATACGTCAATCTCGTTAGTCAATTAACGAATGAGGATCACGAGGGCAGTATCCCTTGCAAAGGATTGGGGGTGGAATTTTCAAAGAGTTTATAAAATATTAGTTCAGATGTATAATCTCATAAAACTTTTTTTTATTATAATTTTAGTTATTTATATTATACATAAAGATAATATCACTTGTATTTATAATTGTCATTTAATAAAATTTTAATATGATAAAAACTCTAATAAGAAATCTTAATACTGGAGTCAGCATAATTGCCGAAATATATTAATCATGCTCTCTATCTTCATGCTTTGTGCCACTCGGTGCATTCCATTTTGAGCTATCAGGATCAGTTTTTGTTTTGGAATGTTTCCTGTGAGCCATGGGGATGACTTCTTTGAAAATGGGTCCTAATCCATCCGCCCCTCCAATAATGCAGAAGTAGCTGGCTCCTTTTATCTTGTCAATGGTCTTGAAATATTGAACTATTTACAACACTCGTTGATATTATGATCTTTTATAATAATTGAGCTTTTTACCTAACATGATCCTCTTAACCTTTTCGGTTGTGAGGTATTAAAAGGTTGTCAAAGAACTTGATTTGCTTATTTAATGGTGCTCCACTTTGAGAATGATTTCCTTTTTCTAATGAGTTGTGAGATGGTTTTGCATTTGATTTGTAATGGGAAAGGTAAATTGGTATGAGATAAGACTGACTGAAAAGTGCCAATCACATTTCTTGGCATAAATTGATACGAGAAAATATTTTTTATGCTTCGTTTTCCACTTCGTTTTCCACAGCCTGTTCATGTCTCCATGAGTGAGATGATCCTGTGATTGACAACGAAAGTCCGTAATTGAGGAACAGAGTCAAGTAATTGACATCCAATCTTTATTAAAAAAATATATATATCAACGAGTAAAAGTCTTCAATTAAAGAAAAAAATTAACTGATAAACAGATATGGATATAATATGATATAATGAGTATGAGCTAAGTAAAAAAATACATAAGTTATTTTTAATAAATACAATAATGAATATAATATTTTTTTAATTGGTATAATAGGATATGGAATTGGCTTAATACACTAGATACCCAAACCATTACCATACCCATACCTTGTAGGAAAAAAAGTTATTTTTAGAGGATAATAAATATAATATTTTTTTTAATTGGTATGATAGAATATGAAATTGGCTTAATGAGCTAGATACCCGACGCATTATCATCCCACCACATGGTAGGAAAAAACACTGCAAAGAAGATTACATAGTTGCAAGAAATTCCCATTAAAGTCTTGAATAGATTTCAAGTAATTGACATCCATTCTTTATTTCTTCAGTCACCAATGAAATCGATGATTGCCTTCAAACCATGAACACAGCAGATGGACTTTTTGGCCAAGCAAAGGAATCGATGGGAGAGGACCTCCATACTTCACACAGCCTATTTGAATAGATTTCAAGTGTTGACTGCGTTAGGTTCTGATCAGTAATGGTATGCACTTACGCAATTGAGATAAGGATGCCCTTCACCCTCGTCAAAATGGGAAGAAAACCCCAGAAAAATTAAGTATGAAAACAAATTAAGAACAATTGTATTCTCTATTCAGCACAGCTGCAATTCACCAGCTATATATCAACGTCAATCTTTGGCAAAACCCACTTATTGTACTCTGTTTTCTAATAAATCCATCAAATAAGCTATTTAATTTTTAATTCAGTCTATTCAACGTTGAGGACGGCAATTTGTCCCGCCTCGACAAATCCCCCTCTCGATCAATACGGGGATTCTCCAAGTTGACTAGAGAACGGGACAGGGCTCCCTGCCCCGCATTAATTTTAAACAAGGATAAGGCTGAGATGATATTTGCTCATCCCGTCCCGTTTGCCTCGCTTCATTCCTAAAATTACAATTATATTCTATATAAAATCTGTAACTACTAACTCTTAGGGTTTATTTTCTATATGAATTATCTTTTTTTTTTTTTTGCTATAGTTTAAAATTTAATAATAGAATGGAACGGGATGGGACGAAAACAAAAAATTAAACTGGACATCGGTATTTCACAAGGATCCCCATCCCCGTTTATGGTGGGAATGATTTGAAAAATATTGCCTCAAGCCCATTGCCATTCCTATTCAACAGTATATCTTCAATTTCGATCAATTGAATACCACTTCAGAAAATTGATGATTTTTATATGCAACCCAAATAATATATATATATATATATATATATATAATGGGATCTATATACTGTATTCATATGTCCCTATTGTTGTAAAACCCATTTAATGTTTTTGAAAAAAAAAAAAAGAAGTCATATTGATTCTCTTTAACAAGGAAGAAATCGATCCCCAAAAGGTAGCAAAGTAAAAACCCCCCAAAAGAATTATTCTTGAAATAATATATATCAACTTGAATACCATCGTGCTACGGTTTTCCTTCAACTCTATCGATATGCGGTTTTTTGGGTTTTTTTTTTTTTAAAAAAAAAGAAATTACAGATTTATAATTATTGACGGTCAATTTTATAATTATTGCCTGTCTAACTGTGGCAGAGATAAAGCATACTTATATGACACATTGTAGGAAGAAAACTGCAAAGAAGATTACATCGTTGCAAGAAATTCTCATTAAGGTCTTGAAAAAATTCGTGAGAAGTATGAAAAAACTGTCGAAATTTATCAAGATTTAGATGTTCTGGATACTTGGTCTTCAAAGTCTGTTGTTTTATGAGTAACAATGACATCGTAATAACTACAGAGACATATTTGAACATGAGGCAATTAATATTTCAAGTCTCAATTCTAGGGTTTTTTTCTTTGCTACTTTTGAGGATTGATTTCTTCCTTTCAAAAGAGAATCGATCTACCTTTTTTTGTTTAAAAAAACACTGAATGTACTCCACAATAGGAGAGATATCTCTAGCATGAATACCATATGTTAATCCTACCATATGAATATGTTATTTTTTCGCTAAGTCATGAGGATAAATATCATCCTTTAAAAAAAAAAAAAAAACCGTACTTAATTGATCAAAATTCAAAATATATATGTTGAATTGACCAAATTTTATTTAAAAAAAAAACCATATTTAATTGATTGATATTGAAAATACACCTATTAAATTGACCGAATTAAAAACACCATGAGCTTATTTGATAGATTTATGAAATCACAAGTGCAAATTAGCAGGTTTGCCTCAATCTTTGAACAAATTACAAGAAAGTTTAGGCATTGAACATAGGCCACATGCATCGTATATGGAAGAAATAAGCTTCATATGTCAAAGCACCCTACAGTTTTTTTTATTTTTTTTTTAATCCATATTTCAGCCAAAGGTAATGGATTAGACCAGAAATGAAAAACTGATTTAGGTTGATTGGATGCAAGGAAAACAACTAACAGCAGTAATAGCAAATGCCTAATGAGCTTGTCACTCAATGGCACCAGCATCCCCCTCCCTTGTAAGAGTTCTCAGGATCGGTGCCTCTCCGGTACACCAGAAACTGAAAAGAATCAACAGCAGAGATAAATTGACAATCGTATGGGAAACAGAATCGTTAAAATTAATGCTAAAAGGAGGTTCAGAAGTCATTAAATAAATTGTGAAGCCCAAATAGAAACATAACTTCCATTACCAACATCAGCAGTATAGTTTAAATTCTTGGTAGAACGTATTAGCACACTAAAGACTTCTGAACATCAATTCTAGACTTATTGTAACCAAACCATCATATTCACGGTATTAAAAGGAAAGATTATGAACTCTCTTTAACAACAGCATATCCTGGATATAAGACACTAGTGCTTGTCCTCCTTCGGAATGTCCTTTTGAGGGACCTTTGATTCCAGTTCCTTTGGCGTTGCCTCTTTTGTGGCCCTGAAATAAAATGCATCAACAACCCATTCTCAGTACTGAAAATGTGGAATAAACTCCAATCATGATAGTAAACATAAGCCAACTGACAAGCTTAATTAAGAAACATGTGGATAAGATCAAAGCAAGATTTTCTTCTAATAACCTGAATGGAGTATATTACAACAGTTTGTAGTTATTCAAATTTCCTGTGACCAAACCCTAATAATAGTTTTTGCATTGGTCACCAATTTATATCTGGGTTTTAAACTCCTCTTGGCGGAACAATCTAGTTTTGACTTAAGGACAATATCAAGCAATCAAAAGAGGCTAGAAGGCAATGTATGAATACTATGCAACTTGTTCATTAGAATCTAATACAATTACAAAACTTAGCCAATTGCCAGAACACGAATTGTCTAGCCTTCAACAAATGAAGGCCAAGAGTTAAGAAACGATGCAGACGAGGCTTGTTGTAGTCATTATCCAATACCTGCTTCAAATCCATAAGCACCAGCTGAATTACTATCCCAAACTAAGTTATTTACCTCAATCCTAGACTCAAATTTATGTCAAGAAAACCCCTTCTATATCTAAAAAATAAAACACTAAGAATCACAAGCACAAAATCGCACACAACTACCACAATATGATAATATTAATTACAGATGTCTTTCGAAAACTGATATTCAAATTTTCAAAAGCAAAAATGTACATAATTTTGTTTCATTTCAGTTCATCAATTTTTTGCTGAATATGTCCGACCAAAACATCCTCAAACAAAAAATATAAAAAACACCCAATTCCTTAATTTGAATTCCTAAGTTAAGGATATTACAAGCAACCCAAAAAACAACGAACTAAAATAAACCCATCAAAATCAGAAATCATTGGATTCAATAAAAATTAATAATGACATCATAATCACTCCTATTCATAGAGAGGAGAGGGAGAGCTTACTTGGAAGCAGCGGCGGATTCTTCTTCGAGCCAGTTGCGGATATGCTTGACGTTGCGTCTAAAGATAGACGCAGATTGCTTGACATCGCTCCTTAGTAAAAGAATCACAGCACTTACACCAGCTACTGTTATAATCAAGTTTGTCAACGCCATTATTATTATTTTTTTTCCTTCTAAATCCTCAAATTCCTTGTTTCGTAATACAAAAATTGAAGAGGCAAGTGGGTTATATGTCACTGATGCGAGGGTTTTGCTGGATTTCTTGTGGAAGAGGTGTGCTTGGAGAAGACTATAGAGGGACCTTGAGTAAATGTGTTAAATGGGTTGTATTGGGCCAGGTATGATCCATACAAGCGGGCTTCAATTTGGCCCTATATCACTCAAAAGTCAAAGTTCTACCTATTTTATTATTTATTTATTAGATAATGATTCACCCAATTTTTTATTTTATTTTTTTTAATTCCAACCTTGGTATATGGTATTCTCGTACAACTAAATTATATCCTCTGATGATGTTAATGATATTAAGAATGCATCTTTCACATTGACATGATATATTTAAAAAATATTAGTTTTAATATTTGAACTTAGAAAATTAAGAAATAAAACAAATCCCTTAAAAATTAAAATTATGCACCACTCAATCTAACAGCCTAGATTGCTTCAATAGGTTATACCAAGAAATACCCTCATCCAAGGGTGGGAAAAGTCAGTCCAGTACATTTTTTTTTGGGGATAATCTATTATTATTCTTATTTATTACTCTCTTAGTCCCATGTTAGTTCACCTTTACGCATTGTGGAACAAGTTTTAATTATTTTTTCAATTTAAAAAAAAATGCTATAATTTTCTCCTCAATTTGTAGAATCTAAAAAATTTATGATTCAAATGAATGCATCACCACATCAAGAATTGTTAAAATTACCGCCTATGTTTATTAGTTTTTTACTTGGTTAAGAGGTTTTTATCCTAATAGCATGATTAAAACAAAATTGTTACTGTACCATATCTAATTATACGAGCATGCATAAAAAAATGTTATTATATCGTTTATCATGGCAAGAATGGCTCATAAAAAAATTCTCTGTTTTTTTTTTTTTTTTTGGGTTACCGTAAGAATATTTTTTGAATAATTTAAACCTTAATTGAAACTAAATTCCTTTCCAAAAAAAAAAAATTAAAGACGCACCTCCCACATTAAAAAAAAAAATCTCTTTGTTTTTTTTTTTAAATATTTTTGGAATAATTTAAACATTAATTGAAACTAAATTTCTTTCAAAATAATATTAGAGACGCACCTCTCACAAGGCCTTGTGAATTTAAAAGAATGTAATAAATTATCCTAACTTCTTATCTCAAAATTTGAATCTAAAAAATTATCGAAAGAAGTAAACATTTTTAATTATCAAATTAATTTCTTAAAATTATATTTCTCATATTTGGAAATGACAAGATATTACAATGTTTTGAAAAGATGTTCCAACATTAATTAGTTGTTAAATTAGTTGGAATGATTAGCCAAGTAATGGAATAGTTAAAAGGTTAATGGTTGTAGGGTTTTTTTTATTATTATTATTATTTCTTTCATGTGGATTGTGTCCCTTTGTTTATTTTTTAATCTTAAATAAGTCTCTTTATATTTGGTTTATATCTTTAAGTCCATTCTTCCGTTAACATTTTAACTAACAGTGTTAAATCATACCATTGGTCTCATAGGGTTGCAACAGGTATCAATCTGCTTTTTTTTTCTTTTTTTATCTTATTCTCGTCTCTTTATATATTTTTGAAAAAATAAAATAAAATAAAAGGTAAAGATAAAAAAAATTATCCAAAAGATTCTTTATAAGTTTAAATTTTATCTAAGATGGCAAGTAAATTTTGAAATATAAAATAAAATATTTATAGTATTTTTTTTAATATTAAAAGTGTTTTAGTTAAAATCTTAAACTTTTAAATGATATTTATAATTTTAATTTCAATGAAAAAAGAGTAAAGGGATGAAAATTAAAAAAAAAATTGATACATGTCGTAATCCTGTGAGGCTATGGTGGGATTTAACACCATTAACTCAAAACAATTAATAGAAAAATGAATTTAAAATATAAACCAAATGTCTAAAGATAAAATTAAGATTAAAAAAAGTAAAAAGAAACAATAAAAATGACAGAAAAATAGAAGAACTCCCGCAACCATTAATCCAATAATTAACTTGTCAATCGAGCTTTATCAATTGAATATCGTGATCACATAAAAATTCATTGGTATTCACTCCTCATATCTCAAATAAAGGCAAGTTCAACATCTATCAGTTTTTTTTATGAAACAAAAGAAAGAAATCCTTTCCAAACGAACCAGACCTCCTGTTTGACAATGTCCAATTCCCTCCATCCATTGCATAATTTCATGATTCGACCGGTCATGTCGCTTCTGTTAGGATGCACGTGATAAAAGAAGAAATAGAATCTCAAAAAGATGTTAGATAAGCTTGTTCAACAACATTTCAGCTCCAATGATTGCGCATCTGTGCAGGCTGGCTGGAAAAATTAACGAACAAAATGGGAAAAGCCAAATTAATGTTCACATCTATGAAATGAAAGTAATAATGTCTGAAGTCAATTAATATGTGACCACATTTTTGGAAAAGAAGTTAATAAAATTTATCCTGTGATTTTAGTCATTCACGATTTACTGATGAAGGTTTGAATTTGACAGTTCAATGTCATATAATTTGCTTTCCAAGCATTGGCTTCAGGAGTGAAGGCAAAGAGCGATAGGGATAGGACGCCATGGCCATTGGCCCCTTGAAAAAATTATAATTTTTTTAATTGGATTTTTGCTTCTTTTTTTTTTTTTTTTTTGCTTTTTTTTTCTTTTTGTTGTTGTCGTCTACGGATGTCCAAATTCATAGATTTCCACCAAACAAATTCATAAATGATAAATAGTTTTTTGTGTGTGCATATCTACCAAGGATTTTCTTTTGCCACTTAAATAATCTTTAAATGGTTCTAAACTGAATTAACTTAGGTTATAAGGAATTTCCTACTGTCGTGATTTAAATCTCACCACTAATTTTGAATTCAGTAATTTGGATAACACAAGATAAATAAAATATAAGAAACTTAAGTTGTTATTATTTTTATTATGAATTAAATCTTGTCCATTCAATTTCAATTTAAATTTAACGATTTAGATTTAACAAATATAACAAAGCAAATATTAGAGGATCTAAATCCCAAAAATATTGTTTAAACTTACTTGAATATTTATTATCAAAATTCGTTATATACACTTTAAATGATTACCATAAAAGATAGCACTCATTTATTTCTTTAATCAGCATCGTTGACTTTTTCTAAATATTAGCTTTTTATTCTATTTTTACTCAGTCAAAAAAAAGTATGAAGGTCAATAAAAGCATTAATCTATTTCACATTTGTATATTAAATTAATTCTAAAGTCATTTCTTTAAAGAGAAAAAAAAAAAACACTGTCCTTTTCACTCAATCTTACAAGATTATCCTACAAATTGAACTTAATTAGTCCCATTATTGTTGATTGTTACTAGATAATAAGTAATTTTTTATTTATTTATGAAATACTATTCCCTCTCAATTTCATAAGAAGAGTTCTATGAAAGTCATATAGTTTATTTCAATTTATTTATCAAATTAGAAATTAAAAAAAATCATATATATATATATTTTTTTATCTCTGTAGCTACATTTTGAACAAAATTTTCTTCAAAATTTAACACAAATTATTGATTAATTATATTATGTTATGTAATGTGTAAAGAACATTCAATTTTGGAACCGAAAGCACAAATTATTGATTGATTACATTATGTTATATAATCTGTAAAAGACATTCAATTTTGGAACCGAAAGGGAAGCATAATAGTATAGTACTTTATAGATTTTTTTTTTTTTTTTCAGGAGCTTTCTATTTTTTGTTAAAAAGGAGAAAAATCGAATCCTAATTGCGCTACATCCGTCCGTTGGGACCCTTATAATTCTATAGAATCAGAATTCTCTCTTTTCTTCTCTGGGAAGAAGGAAGAAAGGAACTAAAAGTTCAAACGAATCCACATTAAGTTGCAAGTTGGACATGAATAACTAAGATTTTTTTTTTTTTGTTTGTACCATTTTATTATCAATCATTTTTCTGGTTGCTGCTCAAAAGTTGAAAATTGATTTTTCATTTTTCCTATATTCACAAGCGATTGGAATAACTAGGAATCCTTTTAGAGAGATATAACTAATTCACCGCTAGCCATTTGACTTGCATTGGTCAGACTTGGCAGCTATCTGAGAACAGTAGGACACAATGCAAGACCTAGATGCATGAAAAGGTACAATGCAAAGCCAAATTAACAAGTTGTCTTTTGGTTTTGGTTTTCACTAAGAGGTGACGAAGGCCATTGCTAAAATTTGCTAATGAAATGATAGAATCAAGATGTTCTTGTAGTGTCAAAATCTTTGTGGTGATAGATAGAGATTTAATGCGATATTGGCACGGCTCAATCAGATTAAAGAACCCAACCATTGAGTGCTTTGATTTGATTGAACCATGCCAACATCAAATTTCCACCAAGGACCACCCAAAAAAGACAATGACATTGATGAAGGAATTGGAAAGAAAAGAATCAGATAATAGCACCCTTTAAAGTTTGTGCACATTCCAGTCTCCTCCGGACGCTGCCGCTTCTGGCATTGATAAAGTTGATCAAATGAAGAATATGGAGGGTCTGCAAGCGATTTAGGACGGAAGAGAAAGAGGAAAGCAAAAACAAGAAGGGTAAGAGACTGGTTGGAACTTCCAAATCTGTGCTTTATATAGGAAAGCAGTGAGCTGTATATTGAATTTGTTAATTTGGTTTTGAAAGTAGCGATTGGTGTCATAGGAACTTTCATTGATTTATACTATTACACCTAACGTTATTGAATTAAAAATATCAACGTATCCATATTGCATCAAAAGGTCCCTAAAATTATAGAGACTGCAATAATTTGTTCTATAATTGTCATCACCATTGCTGTCATCATAACATCTTATGAAATAATAACTGCTCAATCTCGAGGCTTTCTATGATCTAACCCTTGGGCGTTTCGAGCTGAGGTTCAACCAAACCCATCATAAAATTGGTGAGTTTT